CCACGAGGAGGTAAGTCTTTCGCGCACCCCTTCAACTCGAAAATAGAGTGGCTTATTTTCATTTGGACCTTATTAGTGAAATTAAGGAAAGTATGATCTGTTCGTTTCAAATGAGGGCTAGAATACAGCATTATTTAGTTTGCTTACTTGGAACTATTGAAGAAAAGGAATTATTTGCATTTTTATTTATTTTATAATAAAGCCTTCANTATGTTTGTATCCTTGTAGCCCCATCTGGTGGAGTGGGCGTTGAAGTCTCCTAATACTATAGTTTTGTGTGAGATGTTCAGAAAGTCAAAGTTTGGACAATTCTGGGGAGGATTATAGACTGCATATATCTTGAATTGGTTTTGACATTTCCAAACATTTAATCTGATTATTTCACATTTGTCTTGTGTCGAGCTCATACTCTTGATTAGGTCGTAGTGTGAGGTGAGGCCATCTTTTACTCCAGTTAGAATTCCACTTGCAACTTTCCGGTATTTAGGTAGATTGTACAGGGTGTAACCTGGGAATTGGTAATACATCAGTTTGTCATCCGAAATGTTAGCTTCCATAATTGTGAAAATGTCTACATCATAGGTTTGCAGGATTTTCTGTATTTGGATCTTTTTGTCCGGAGACATTCCTCCAGCATTCCACTGGAGGATCTGAAGACATTGTGATTCGCCCTGACGAGGGCGATTTTTCTTATAGCCTTTTTTAAAGCTAATCATAATTAATCGAAGTCAAAAACGAATGCCGATTGATGGACTTTTTTGCCGTAAGAAAATACGTTGTCCAGGGTGCACCACGTGGAGGTAAGTCTATCGCGCACCCCATGTTGCAAATCATAAAATATTTCAAATTAATTCACTAAGCTCTTTTCAGTCATTCTTACCTTAAATGGAAATGAAAATAAGTGAACACCATTGTTATTCAACTATATGCTTTAATAGAATACTTTTTCATGATTTCAATCGTTATCACGGCCTCCAACCCACTCAGTATCGTTGGACGCGTCGTCGCCTCCAGCGTGATCACTTGCGCGCGTATAACCAGTGGCCAATCAACAGTCTTTGTTTGCTTAAGAAGATGTGCCACGTTGATCATGGCTAATCTTACGGCGTGTACACTTTCTCCCCAGTATACTTCCCAACTAAACGTGTTCCGTGTGATGCGTCTGTTTCCTCTACATCTGGTCTGTGGCTTAGCTAGTTCTGGGAGTCTAGGTAGACATAGGAGAATCTGCCACAGGGATTAGTGAGTCAGTCAAAACTTTACAAGTATAGCAATCCACCACAGTATCCTCATTCCACACTAATCCCCCATTTTTAAACGAACTTAACCGATTTTATATAATATCGCAATGGTATGTTATTAGAAAGTAGTTTTATTATTATAATTCATATTTTAAATAAACACACAATTAAACTGCCAATATTCTATTCCCACTCACATAGTGTTTAATGTATTTGGAACTAAATCATGGATGTCAGCTCAATGGCTTGCAGTGAACAATGATGAAAGTTGAGCTCAAGGAGCTTTGTAGTCCAAAAGATATTGAATAAACCACATTCAGACATTTGAGAGTGTAGAAGAGAGATGAGCATGCCAGGAGGATGGATAAGCGCAATTGAGTGAAATGCGAAGGCAATTTCCATGAGCGCTAATGTACTTAAACATTAGTAGGAAGAGTTACAAGGGTTTTAAGGCGGACAATTAGCATATTTTAACAACGATTGTGGCTATAGACAATTTTGTGAAATCATAAGGACTATTGTTTCAGGTCACAATTTTTCTAGTGTCTAGTTTGTTTAGAGAAACGCAATTCTCTCTCTAACTAAGTAGACAGGCGAGCACTCAAGTACCACATTCCGCCAAACTTCACCTGCTTTCTCTTTCTCCTGCTCGTCTGATCTTCCTCGCCGTACCCATTTTACTCCGTTATAAGAAGAGAATATTCGCCCTTCCTGTGCAAACATAGGGTTTTTGTGATTTGAATGACTTGCACTTAAGTGAGGTAAACTATACGATATTCGTCTATTTGAATCGCAAATAAAAGTTTTAAGTATATCTCATCTACTTAAACCATAATTTTATAATGCTAATAAATCATTCAAATATTTCACTTAATATGTCTTTGAAGTTTATTCCCCAGTGAAATGTGTTGATTCATAATCAAACGCCTTCAATTAAAATTTAAACTATTTGACTTTCATAAATTGTTTGTTTATTAAGCGTAGCAACCTTAGATTTTAGAACTTAATACTGTAATGCTTTAAGTTAATGCCCCTTTTATTTCGATATCCCAAACCAAAACGAATTTCATATGTATTTTGTGTTCTCGACGCCTAGACCAAAACAAAGTTGACCAATTCAGTTTTACCCATGAATAAAATTATAAGTCATGTTGTATAACCAGGTAATAATTTCGATTTTACATCATTAGCGGTCTTATCGATAATTTCAAGGAAACTTGTTTGACCAAATTAATTTTAGTATCCAGGGGTGTGAGATAGACTTACCTCCTAGTGGTGCACCCTGGGCAACGTATAATCATACGGCAAAAAAGTCTATCAACCGGCAGTTGACTTCTGATTTCAAATTACCATCACCCCACTGTATGTCATATTCGACCCCTACCACAATACTCGTCTTACCCTTTCTGAGCCTTGGTGTCTGTCAGTTTCTTTTACATCTGTGAATCACTCTTCTGTTCTCCCTCTCGAATTCTTCTCATTTTGATGTTTCTCCACCCCTCAGTGAAGCCCGAAGTCAACTAAAGGGGTAATGATAACTATCAAAACGCCTGCCATTTGTTATAATAAATTTTAGCATCCACATTTACCATTGTTTCATGAAGATTGTCAAAAAAAAACGAAAAAGAAAAAGCGATTTATGGAAATGATTTCTTTATAGCTAACCCAATTTGGAATCATAATTTATATTTTCGGACCTATGAAATGCGCAGTCCAAACACAAGTAGCCTAAACAATCTCATGTTCATTTGAACATTCTGGAGATTTCAGTCGTACGATTTACATCTATTTAGCTATTCATATTCCATCAATTTATATTATATACATTCAATGACTAACTATGTTTGCTGTAAGCATGAATTCAATAAACTCTCTGCGCCTACCACTTCTGTATCATTGAGATAGCATATCAATTCAAGGAGCCTTTCTGTAAGGAGCAAATTTTGTTCTAAAGATTACTGAAAATAAGTCAAAGCTAGTTAATTAATAATATAATCTTTATTTTAAATTAGGCGAGTCACCTCACAGATTTCGAACAGAAGTGATTTGTCTGATAGCTGGTAAATATCCTTATCTATTTCCTATTTGCAGAATTCATGAAGCAAGTTGAGGCTTCGCTGCAGCCGGAAATATTGGATAGAATGAGAAGATTTGCGCTCCACTGATCATATCTTTCATTTTAAGCGCCAATTTTGCATGACTTGGCGACTGGAACCATACATACGCAAGACCTTTTGAACGTCCAAACGCATTTCGATGCAACTTAGCACTAAGCACTTTTCCAAATTGACCGAAGTACGAATACAGGTTAAATTCAGTGATTCTTTCATCCAGGTCTTTCACAAAAATACCCGTTTCAGTCATGGCTGTCAAGTGGGCATTTAGTGCTTTTATTCTGTCTGCCTTTTTTTCAGCTGGACTAACGTATAATCTTTGTCCTCTAAACAACTTTCCATTCAAATGTCGTACAGCGTTCCAAGCCTCATCAAATCGTTTAAAGCATACAAAGGCATAACCCTTTAACACATTATTGGAGTGTGTTGGGATAAAAATACTCCCGATTTCGCCAAACTCACCAAACAATTTTCGTAGGTCGGCTTCAGTAGTGCGTCGGTCAAAATTTTTAACGTAGCAATTAGTGAATGGTAGAACATTGGCATTAGGATAGCGTTCATTTCGTGGCTTGAAAGGCTTCACAACTAATTTTTTGTCGGCAAGTTCCAACGTGCCGGAAGCTCCAACTGCACCTAGTGCGTAATTAGGTTTACTATATTGTACATATCCATATCCGCGTGAATTCATTAAGTCATTCGTAGCGATCTAAAATAGCTATTTATTTAATATAGACAGCCAAACCTTGCACGACAATACTTCCCCAAAGGAACTAAATAGCTCGTGGAGTTCCTCTTGCGTGACGCATTCGTCTATATTGCCAACAAACACATTTGCTGCTTTGATATTTCGTAAACAAGGATCTGGTTGGAAGCGCATCAAGCGAATGGGTCGATTGCGGAATCGAAGATTTCGCATCTTAGACATCAAAGTATTAACTTAAAAAGCGATATCTCCAAAAATTAAAACTTACCTTCATCTTCGCTTTGGAAACGCAATAATGCGAAGCATGTTCCGTTTTTAGATCGCTTTACACTAATAAGTTGACAATTGAAACTGGAAAAGGTAAAGGCTAGTTCATCGAGAGTAACGAGAGGATCCAGATCACCAACATAAATAACACAGTCGCACATATTTTCTGTCAATGAAAAGTAATCAGAGTTATAATCTAACTAAACTTACAACTTACAACTTACTTTAAAATATTATCCTTGGAAATGCTAAAAATAGGTACATTTAAGAACGAAAAGCTAAATTTTATTTTTTAGATTTAGATGTTAGAATTAATTTGACCATAATTTCTTTTCTTAATAATTCACTAGTATCATTCTTTGGAAGGCATTGAAAACTGTTTGAATAAAAATTAGAAGAAAAATGAAGTGAAAATAATATACACGGAGTTGAATTATGTAGACGGAGTAAGATTTTGATATTTTTATAAATTATCTTAAATTTGCGTTTTACTGATTGATTTTAAATTTCGATGAGATTGGATTAATGGACAATTTGATTAAGACAAACGTAAAAGTCCGTTGCCTAAGGTAATTTAATACAGCTAAATATTTCAAATTATAAAAACTTGAAAAATCCAGGTTTAAGGATTTAACGAACAAACTGGTATGTTTCGAAATATGATTAAAAAATTCATGCGATTTCAATGACAGTTTTAATTACTATAAAAATATTAATTTTTTGACTAATTTAAATCAAATTATTGTAGAATTTTGAAAAAATAAGAAATTGGCAAAAAAGATTTGCAGGGATTATAAGTAAATATGACTACGCTTACAAACGAAATTCATTCGGGACTACCATAGGATAAACACTCAAAGCAAAAGATGTTACTTGTCAAATTTAATACTTAATATCAAAGTCAATAAGACTAAATCCTCTCATGGCATTGTGGAGATCGAGATTAGAAATAAATAACATGAAAATATTTAAAAATCAATGAAACATTAACCAAAGAAAAATAAATAAATGTATAATTTCAAATATAAATACCACAAAATTTCTGTAAGAATACAGCATTAGAATTTTTATATTTGTGCTAATTTGTTTGAACGTATACCTCTTTATCCAAGCTTTCAGTTTTTGTTTCCTATGATGGCGAGAGGCCATGAATATGTACGGGTTACGAAAAGATTTATTGTTTTTTTATCATTAAAGTCAAATTTGGTTTGCATGCCTGGTATGTTCGCTTAGCCGTGTTGAAATAGTTCTGTTTGATACCTAAAAAAGTGATATCAAATTAATTACCAATATTTTCTTTCAAAATCTGCGGGCCTGCTATTTGTCAAAAATGGGAATAACTTGTGATTGCATTTGTGTAAAAATGATCCAGCTGGGAAATTCCTCTAGAACCTGTTTAATGTTAGTCAATTTCCTTTCAGATTGTCAGTGATCCGAATAAGTTATTGGATTCCTTCAAGGTCCACTTAACCGAAAATGGTGGCATACGCAAAAGTTCCATTTCTGAGCTTGTTTCTTTAATGGCTAATACGGGTGAGCTTCTTGCTCCGAAGTGTATCTCAATCTGCGTAATTGCAGCCTCGGAGTCCGCTGTTCAGTCCTTGCTATGTGACACGGAGGCGTGGGATATCCTTCTTAAATGGCTTCAAGAGGCCTCTCAGGAGGAGGACTTTTCGTTTTTAGCTGAACTGATGCAACTCTACCTCCATCTTCCAGTCACTTTTCAGCTACTTACACGTAATGTTTGTCCAAAGATGATTAAGACCCTTTCTAGGAAAGCTAATAATGAAAGTATGTTGTTGTCTTTTACTCATTCTCTCTCTAGAAGTCCGTTCGATGGCTGTCGATATTGTCAAGAAGTGGATGGGTGTTGTAAGTAGCGCCAACGGTGAAACTAAGCCCAGAAAACGTAAGTTGGACTCTAACAAGAAAGAGAATCTGGAAGCTAAGAAGGATGAGCATTCAGTTACTGTACCTCCTCAGTCAATGCAAGAGATAAAGAAGAGAAGAACAACTGTCAAAGTTCCTCCTACAGTTATGAGGACTGCTGGTATTGAAGATGCTCCTGAATTGCCTGTACCGAAGTCTCGTTCTGAAGTTTTGGCAAAGACCAAAAATGAAAATCCAAATGAAGAACCAGCTGCGCCTATTGAATCCTTTCATCAAAGCATTACCGTTACTCCAACTGAATCCAAGAAATGTGAGCTTGAAATTTTTGTTTTTATCTTAATTTAGCTCCGACAGAGATTCATGAGAGTTTCAACTTTATCAATGCTCTTACGAACTCGCAACCTGGTATACGTAGGAGGCGCAAGCCCCATAAACCAGAGCTCTCTGTATCTCATGGTGACATTAGTGCTGTAGGTTTTGCTGTTTGACATGGTTACTTTTATAGGCAATCGATTGTGGTAAAACATACACACAGGATCCTGCGGTTGCAGATTCAAATGATTCCGATGGACCTTCAAAGTCATCAATCACTAGTTTCCCTATCCATCCTAGTGATAAAAAGAGCAACAAGAAACGAGTGACATGGGCTCCCGAGCATTCTTTGACGCAAATTAGTTATTTCGAAGTTGAAGAAAATGAACGAGGTTAGTAATTTTGTTGTAATCTGTTTTATATAGTTAATTTTTCAAGTTATCACCTTCTGTTTGTAATTATAGTCAATGTTACTCGAACTATTGAGGAGATTCGGCAACAGGAGCATTCTCTTGAGCGACAACTGTTTAAACGTCATGAAGATGTCGAAATGTGCGGCGGAAGAGTAGGTTTTAACCTTAACCCTTGTTTTTAACTCATTTTGAATTGTTATATTATTTCTTATTATTGGCTTTCAGTGGTTTCCCCCTCCCCTGTTGGAAGTTAATCCGCCTGCAGAGCCAGGGAGTCGTTCGACTGAGCGCGAAACTCAGTTAGAAAGAGAAAGGCATATTCTACAAACCATCTACTTTACTCGGGAAAGCATACCATTTACGCCAGAGGAACCTGATAAAGAAGATTTTGTAAAGCAGGAGCCTATTCAGATTCCTATTAGGGATGTACGTTTAACTCGACTCAAAGAGTTGTGTTTTGCTCCTCCTCCTCTTTCATCGAACTCTCTCTATCTTCCATTTAATCACAAAATAAAACACTTATTTAAAATCGTTTCCGAAAAAGTAGTCGCTGTTATCATACTGGCGATATTGGTCTATCGCGAATGCATGGCTTAACCAGCTTCTTGTCTCTAATTTGTGAGGAAACGAATTATATGGCTAAGGCTTAATGTATTTACTATTTTACGGTTTGAAGAAGTGGCTTTAAAACTAAAAGGAAGTAATGGGCAGGCTTAGGTTGTTTTATCCTCTACTCATGACCTCAATGTGTATGGCCAAGACCCGTTCGTGGTGGGGTCAAACACTAACAATGAGTTGTACATTCTAACCCGCGGAAATTCGGCAGTTGTTTATACCCGTGAACGGTATTTCGCTAGCTTAATGGAAATGCTTGGCCGACACGTGGTTCGGTGTTATGTGTGATTGAAACTGTGCAGGGCCTTGTGTGAGATGCCTGGGTTTGGTTGCCATCTTTTCACTTGCACTACTTCGTTTTAAAATACGTGATTTAATTCTAGCCATTTTGATTTCTTTCTAGTACAATGATCAGCTACTGGTAACAAAGAGCACAGAAGATGGGAGCTCTAAGGTAGTCAGATTCGTTTCTGCATTAATGCATTTGCGTTGTAAGACTTGTGTATGTATATTTCTGTCTTGTGACTTTTATAGGTCTCCCTCAATCCCAATGTTGCAGATTTAGTCAAATCCCTCGCTCTAAACTTTGATCAACAGGAGGGACCTGCTGTTGCTACTACTAAATTGCAATCACAGCCTGCGCCTACGGCTTCACTTCCCGTGGATTACAAGTCTCAAAGTCAAGCTCCTAATTATCCGCCTCATGATCATTTCGATGATCATGCACCACCAATGCATCAACCGCCAACTATGGGCGGAGCCCCAAGAATGCCTCCCAATGGTCCTCCTTTTATGTCCGCTGGTGAAAGACCCCATCCTGGAATGCGTGCTAGAGGACCGCCTATGCGACCCCAAATGGGTCCTCCATTTAGACATCCACAATATCCCCCGGACGGCCCCCTACGTTTTCCCAGGGGTGGTGGCTCAATTCCACGACCCCCTTATCGTGGCGGTCCCCCGCCAATGTTTAACGGTGGCAGACTGGGCCCTATGGCCCGTCCCCCTATGCGACTTCGGGGTCCACCTGCCGGTGTTCGTCCTGAACAGATTTGCAAGTTTTTCCAGCAGGGTAATTGTCGAAACGGCAGTAATTGTCATTTTCTCCATCCTGGTTATCAACCCCCACCTCCAAATTGGTGAATACAAATGAACAACAAACGCTGATGTGTACATAAAAATTATTTATCTCTGTTGAGAACTCATGCCCCCAAAATTATTGATTCCGATGTACATATTATTACTGTGCGGTTGTTAGTGTACTTGAATTGTTGTTGCTGGTGTCTTCAATAAAATCCAGTGGTAGGTTACTGTTTTATCCTGCTTGTTTCCAACTTTTCTGCTTAGAATGTTTGCCTTAATAGACTTAGCCTATAAGACTGTGTTCTTGATCACATTCCCTCACTATGCGTTTTGGACCTACCCTGTTGTAAACAGAATTGTAAGCACACAAGTTTCAGTACTTTTATTTAGCTTCCGATCTCTTACTGAGTTGGAATAAAATGTCAAAAAATAAACCTAAGATGATTTTTCGCGGCAGCAAGGATCACAGTGATCATTTTCGATTTTCCAATTAATTGGCAACCTAATTTCGTAACTTACTGCTCGTTAGTGTACATAGGTGGCATTATTTGTAGTTTTCGCGAACTGCGTAAGTTATTAATCGATTAGATAAGAGCAGCGCTTTTTAGCAGATCGATCAATAAGTACGCTAATTCATGTTAATCATTTTACTGCAATGTCTAGGCCCATTACAGTATCAATGGTCTTAAATTGCAAATAGTATTAATTAATTAACCTAAAATTACGAGAGTATGAGTTATGTTGCAAATAGGCATAAAGCACAGACGAAATTATCTAATTATTTTGATACAGAAAATAAATGGATTTTGTAAACTCTCGTTCATGTATTGCCTGCCACTTGTATCCGCTTGCATTTAGCCGATGTAAGAGCGAAGTCAATACAGCAAATCGTAGTATTTGAATTATATGAATTTTTAATCAATTAAATGTTGAAATAATATTCCCCTTTGATATTCATTCGCCTAAATGGTTCAAAATGGCAAAAAATTTCGAAAAGGCACTTTTCTGGGGTCTCGTTAGGAGGCGACAAAACGACCTAGAGTAAAAAAAATAATTCAGTGGCCTATTCATTGACCAGTCCAATACTAGGCACTGTTTATACCTTCTTTATTCCACCTTCTTTAAGCTTTTTAATCTCCAGATTCAACAGGGTTCTATCTAAAATAATAGACAAAAAGTTGGCAAAGAATTGATTTAGTCCTGGTGATGTGGAGTGTAGAACGCTATCAAAGGAAACCCGTGTGACTTAGAATATTCTGTAAAGTGCGGTTGCTCTACGATCACTTAAGGACAAAGTGCCTCCTCTTCTCAGCCAAACAAAGATTAATATTTGTGCTTTGTAGAGTTAAATATATCCAATCACTAAGCACTTTTACAGTAAACTCTCTCAAGGCGATATCGCCTATGTTCTTGACACTTTGGACGTAGCCTAGATAATTTTGAGGCAACTTATATCAGAAGAGTCTGAGAGAGACTATTTGTACTTTACAGAATTTAATAACCCTGAGCACTTACAAATATTCCTTCTAGCGAGTACATCTTTCACACTCAACATAGTAATTCTTGCTTTTTGTGGTTCCTCTGGGTAGGCCATGATGACTCCTTCTGGAATATTGGTATCCGTGAAGGCCTATCCGTAAATCATTTTGGCGATTTATGCAAATAACTTACAAAGATGCAATATTCAGGCCAATTTAGAGCAAAGTATCGAACAGTTACATTTGGATACTGCGCACATATATTACATGGTAAAAATCGTCGAATGATTTCAAAATCACTAAATCCTTTAAACTGTCTATAGTACTTTCTCCCTTCGATGTCGTGGAAATCGACATAACCTATAAGTCTTTCAGTGACCATTGCGTCCTTCAATATAGGTAATTCAGGAGGTTTAGAATTGGGGTTACAGATTTGACACGAGGAATGGAAAAGCACAGCTTCATTGTTTGAGCTGTCCAAATCTGATTTCTGACAACGACAACAACAACGACAGCAAGATTCCTTTATTTCTCCATGTCCTTTTTTTGGAGATGGCATGATGATCTTATGACAATCAAATCGATTGGCATGCTACTCGAAATTTATGGGATGTGACCGCGGTTTTAAAACTCCATGAAATAACCCCGATTAAAAGATGAATTAAGGCAAACATTAGCAGTAAATTCGGTTTCTCATCTAATAGGACTGGCATGTTAAAAGATGGCCATTTATTCTGATTAAGCCAAAACGTCTGTTTCTACTACGTCTCAAATCGTCACCAGTTGATCCCGTACAAGGACGGAAAAACAGCTTCCTTTCTCACCGGTTTGTACTTTTTTCGCTATTCATTTGGGGTAAGTATATTTATCTTGTCTCTAGTAGGTTTTAAATAAATCAGATCATTTCTATGGAAATTTTAATCGTCTCTTATATACTTAGCGAAAAGAACCGTTGCACAAGCAATCACTTTATGAAAATAACTTGTTTAAATATGTGCTAATAAGGAGGTAATTCCCGCTTGTGTGATAGGAAACAATTTCATCAACTCACTGAGGATGGTGGCTGTGATCTACGATTAGTTTGAACTACAAATGTCTTTGGAAATGTCCTAACAGGTTTGCCGTCATTTTGTGGCTGACCAAGCATCAATTTCATCGCTTAGTAATTGATCGATCCTACTTACCAGGTGTATTTCACGATCCCATATGTTGACTGACATTTTGGGTGCTTTTTTATTCCTTTCCTATGGATTTTATAACAAGGTACGTAATAAGTTCAACTAAAATGTAATTTAAATATCAGAGGGATTAGAGGATTTTAAATTTTCATTATTAAATAAAATGGCAAGTTTTATGATAGCTATCATTAGCCATTAGTTGATTTCGGGTTTCAGAGGGGGAGGAACATCAAGGTGGGAAAAATTAGAGAGGGGAAACAGAAGAATGATTCAAGGGTGTGAAAGAGAAGGACACAATGTTAGAGAAAAGGGAAAGGTGAGTATTGTGGAAGTTGTGGACTATGACATACGGTGGACTAATGGTAGTTTGAATTCAGAAGTCAGCTACCGGTTTATAGGTATACATTACCCATGGTTCACCACGCTAAATTAATATAACTTTTCTGATTTCAGTTAATCTTACTGGCTTCGTATGTTGGATTCATATTGTCTCCAAACCGTTTGTCCCCAATTAGATTGACGAATCCAGTAGGTTAACTCAGTGCAGTGTCGCTTCGTCTCAAATAGCCTATACCTTCAGTAATTCAAATGTCAATATTCCGTTATGAACTGACCGCGAGTTTTCCAGTACACATCTTGGGCAGAACAAGAATTATTTCAAATGGCAGGCATTTTAATAGCTATCATTAGCCATTTAGCTGACTTCGGGCTTTACAAAGGGAAGGTTCATCAAAGTAGCAGAAATTCGAGGGGTGGGAACAGAAGAGCGATTCACAGATGTAAAAGAGGCTGACAGACACAAAGGCAGAGAAAAAGGTAAGATGAGTACTGTGAAAGGGGCCGAATATGACAAGCAGTCGTGCCATGGTATTTTGAAGTCAGAAGTCAACTGCTGGTTAATAGACTTTTTTTGCTGTATGAGTATACGTTTCCCGGGATGCACCACGTGGAGGTAAGTCTATTGCACACCCCGAACAGGAATTTATCCTGTCGAGAATTCTATTTCCCTTTCATCCTTATTGGATTGGCTTAACTAGTGCCAATTACACCGATAAACGTCGAATCATTGGCTCCAAACTTCGTAGAAGAGCACGCTAATCAAATAAATTAATCAGCCGCCATCCTCAAGCAATTACTCAAGTATAATAATGAAGAAGGGCCAAGACCTTGCACTAAATGAAAAAAACAACTAAGTGAAACTGAAGCTGATTACCTCAAATTAATCCACTAAAGATAATGTGGGGTGTAATGTAGAAAAAAAACTAGTACTGATTCATAAGTTGACGTCACACAAATTTCCTAACATTTCATCAGAGTATCATTGCTGAAATGGTTGTTTTAAAAGCCTCCAACCTCGGGGTCTACCAACCAATAGATGACTAGCAAGTATACTTTAAATATTATGGCCCCTAAGCCCAGATATATATTAACCAGAGATAAATCAATCATGTGGTTGAATGATTGACAAAATATCGCTCAGAGGCATCCTTAGGTAATAATGTTTAGCAAGGAATCCAGGATTTAAAGGAAATTTTGGTATCAAAGCAGATTTTTTTCTGATTTTTTACTTTATTTTTTAACATCTTAAACTACTCCCATTTTCATTGCTTGTTTTAATTTGTGTTTTGTCGTCACTAAGCAAATAAAATTTAGCAATCTTATGAACGAAACAAGCATATGTGGTCTATATCACCTGCCCTGGTAACTTGGTACAAGCCCTCAGCAAGCTAAAATTTGAATGACGAAAAGGTTCTTACTCACCTAATTGAGACGTCTTAAAGTTGATTAAATTACCACAACAATTAATAATAAGACTTTCGAAACTTGACAAAGACTAAATAAAAATGACAAAGTCTCACTACATTATTCCAAATAGCACGCACAATGTTAATATTTAAATCGAAACTAATAATACGGCTTTTAAATAGACCAAATTAGCACTGGGGTAAAATATGTTTATTTGGTGAAAAATTGAACTGAACTCAAAAATATTTAGCCTTGAACAGAGTTTCCAAAAAAATTGATCCAAAATCCACTGAAAATTTCTTTTCAAACGAAGACCTTAAAGGCAGTAAGTCGTAAGGGGAAAGATGAATTCATACACCTTGTACATTGAAAATCACCTCTTATAAGGCCAACACAATAGGTTACTTTGTGAGATGTTTTCTCAACTATTTCCACTACAGTTTATAGATTTAACAAACTCTCGGCAGTTGACAAGTTAGAATTTGTAATATTTACGTTGAATTAAAAATTGCATGATAACATAGTTTAGCGGACGCTCTTATATCCAATAATTGTTGAAAAACAACGGTACTGTGATTTCGGAGCTTTGGAGCTATTTTACGATTTGAAATAATTTATAGTATAACCAGACACGTAGTTCTACAGAATGACATCAGAATGCCACTTATCTACCCATGACAATCGTTCGAAAGCATATGGAAGGGTAGTGGGGTAACTTCAACGCCGAACTGAGCGTTCAGTCCTCTGACCATGGCCTTCAATTCGCAAACCAGCCTCCAGCTAAGTTTAATAAAGAGTATAACCGCGGGGCCTTCAAAAAATCTCATATGTTTCATCAATGAATACTTATATTATGGGTTTGATGTATCTAGTTTTTGAAAAATAACTTTCCAGTAGCAGCCAACTTTTAAGCTCATTTGCCGTGCCTTTTTACTCCCAATTTCATCCCAATTTCAGACTTCATCGATTATCGATATCTTAAAACTCACCGATTCAACTGGACCCCTCGCCATTGCCTAATTTGGGTTGTAAATTAAAAGAGGATGCGTAGGTAATTCCATTTATTTTTATTATACAAACAAGCCTGGCTCACCACTTACGAATGCTAATCGTATTGCTTTGAGGTTAACGAGAGGGTTGAAACACAGCCGTTAAAAATGAAGGCGTTTTTTGGCATCATTATTACTTGAATGGGGAATGGAACACTTCACTCAGATTTCCACCTTACCTGCTTAAAACATCTTTTTAGGGAGCTAATGGATCCACACTGGTAATATGTTCAATTTGTACATGGAAGTTTCTGTCAAATTTTTACCTTGTTCTTGCATAAAGCATAAATTAACCTTGGTTAAGTGAAAATTGATGCCACCCTTGACATTGAGGTGAGGAGATGGGTGGAGTTTCTAAATTGATGAGCTTTGTCGAGGACTACGAAGTGTGGGGCTACTACATGCTCTCATATGAAGTTTCGCACTTATGAAAACGCGTTGTCTACTTTGTCTCGAAGTCTGAGTAATTCTCAGTTTGGCTGACGAATGCCCACTCAAGCGTAAATTGGCGCATGGGCGAGCGTTTGATTGGTTAAATGTCTAGGTGAGTGATATCGCATAGCTAATAAACTACCAACTTTGGGGGGGGGGGGGGGCGATTTGATTAAAGGCCAATCGGATTTTCCTTAATTAGTTAGGGTTTTTCCCTATCTTGATGATTAAATGATTTCTTTTGACTATTGTAGATTTTTTTCTAAATAAAAAATGTATCAATAGGTTATTTTATAGTTTTCAATTATATTTTATAAATTAGTCAACAAAGCATATGGTGATTTTATGCAAGCACAATTATACTCATATCAACCGTAATTTGAATGGAAATCAAGATCAGCGCAATGATTTTCAAGCTATTCAGTTATACGATCTTGATATGGGGAATGAGATTTTCAGCCTATCTAAACTTTTATTTTTTGAATAGTTTTGGCAATTAATAAACCAAGGTCCATGCAAATAATGCATATTCCTATTAATGAGTTAATTCAATTAGTCGTTTCCGCAGTTAATAACATTAGAATTTAGCTTCAATTAACTGCGAACTTATAGAAATGTAATTCCAGCCAATACTCTCCAAGATATTACACTAAAAGAGAGCAGGAAAGAGAGAGAACGAGAAGGGAAGACATATTTTGAGATGCATAAACTTTATTAAACGATGTCCACTCACCTCTGACAACTTTCACACTACATACGATTATTCGTCAAGTCTAACAAGCAATTTAGTAATGTAGCGCAATGTTCAACATAAGAGGAAGGCAAATTAAAAATACTAAGCGTTAATACCGTCAAGAGAAGAGTACTATAGTTTTAACCATTCGCTTCCTCGTATGACTTCAATTTGGAGTTCATCTGAAGTCGTTTGGACTTTCGATAAGTCCTTTTCACTTATTATGCCCATTGTTCCAAAGTTCTTTATCCGATTATCTTTTATTTATGTTCTAGAAGTCTTAAAGTAGCTAAATGGAGGTAAGGTATGGTTGACCCAGCCTTATTCAAATAACGTCATTCAGCAGGATTTC